GAGAGAGAGAGAGAGAGAGAGAGAGAGAGAGAGAGAGAGAGACTCTGTGTGTGTGTGTGTGTGTGTGAGAGAGAGAGAGAGAGAGAGAGAGAGAGAGAGAGAGAGAGAGAGTAGCCCTGCGTAGAGGTGGAAATTCCTAAAGCAACACGTTTTCTTCGTTTTGGTTCAGATATTTTTCCACATTTCTGATGCTTGTGTGTGTCCGTATGTGCTGTGTTCGTGTTTCTGGGTTTCGCGTGTGCATATTTGCGTTGTATGTGTGCACATTATGTGCCTTTGTGTCTTTGTGTCTCATGTGCTGCATGTCTGCGCCTCATTCGCTTTGTGCTCGCATTTTTTTCGGTAGACACTGGACAACTCTAAACAACGCAAAACAAAAGGAAAACCATACATTTGGCAGACGCGCGCGCCCGCCTCTGTGTGTGTGTGTGTGTGTGTGTGTGTGTGTGTGTGTGTGTGTGTGTGTGTGTGTGCGCGTGTGCGTGTGCGTGTGCGTGTGTGTGTGTGTGTGTGCGTGTGTCTGACCTTTTCGCGGTGGAACCAACTGCATATTCCTTCAACAAAAGAGGTTGGATTCCTTCGTTAAGGGTGCCAAGGTTATTAGAAGATCGCCGAATCTTTTCTATGTCCGTGAACGCCTGTGGCTGAGCGCTAGTGAAGTCCTTTTATTTTTATCTTTGGAGCTCGTCACTTCGCTTTTGTACTTTTTCTTTCACATCATTTCTTTTCCTCTCGCATATTTCTCTTTTCCCGTTTATTCATTCAGAGGAGCAGTTTGGCCCCGACCCTTTATTTACTGTTCCCGTTGCCTTCCTCCCTTTCTCCCTTTCTCCCTTTCTCCATCTGCCGCTCTTTCGCACCCTCTTTTTCTCCCTCCCCTTTTCCCAACTCCCTTCGTTTCCCACACCCTTGATCCCACTCACTTTTTCTCCCAGCTGTTTCTGCCCCTTTTCCCCCCCACTTTCTCCCCCCACTTTCTCCCCCCACTTTTCCCCCCCACCCGTCTCTGCCGTCCTTTTTCCTCTGCCTTGTCCTTTATCTTAATCTTCCCTCGTTTATCTCACTTTCTCTACTTTTCCTCCGCTCTTGCCGTTCGTGCACGTGGCGTTCGCCTTCGCCCACGCGGGCTTTCTGCCGCTCCTACTCAGCATCCCTGCTATGTCCACGCAGCGCCGCTCTGACATCCCTCCTCCTCCTCCTCCTCCTCCTCCTCCTCCTCCTCCCCTCCTCCTCCTCCTCCTCCTCCTCCTCCGCCTCCTTCTCCTCCTCCTCCGCCTCCTCCTCCTCCTCCTCTCCTTCTCCAGGTCAGCTGACTGTCTATCTCCTTCATACCACGTCGGCTGCCTGTCCTTTGCACTGCCTACGCAGCAACGTACGAAACCGAATACTGAATCCCTCCGTGAGATTTTCCGACTCCAGGAACGAGCCCCTCCTCCCTCCCTCCCTCTCTCTCTCTCTCTCTTAGTCTCTCTACCCCCTTCCTCTCAGCGTGCGCTCTCCTGCGTTAGGTGTCTCTTTTTTGCAGGCAAGGGGGTTAGTGACAAGTGACGGTGAGAGATTTAGTGAAGAGAGAGAGAGAGAGAGAGAGAGAGAGAGAGAGAGAGAGAGAGAGAGAGAGAGAGAGAGAGAGAGAGAGAGAGAGAGAGAGAGAGATTCACGGGATTGTCTGCGGACTTCGCAGACGGGCAGTACATGCATGCAGAATAGCGCAGGTAGCAGCCATGCTCGTGTCCCGGTCCCGATCCTTTCCGCTGCAACCGATCAACGATGGGGGGGTAAACGCGTAAACAACTCAATTTTCAGGGACGAAACCGGCAAAGGAGAGCAAATGACATGGACAGCAGACGGGGAGGAGGAGAGGGGCAGGAAGCGGGAAGGATAGGAGGAGGAGGAGGAGGGGGTTCGGGAAAGAGAGGCAGGAGTGGAGTGGGAGGAAGAAAGGTGGGAGAGGTCGGGGGGGAATCAGGAAAGGAGGAATGTAGGCAAGAAGGTGTCGTGGGATGTCGGAGAGTTTCAAAGGGGCTGGACATTCAAGATCTATGTGATGCAGCCATGTGTCCGATGAAATCCGTCGAGCGCCCAGTGGGACCAGCAGAAGGGGTCAGAGGAGGGGTAGTGGGAGGTAGAGAACGAGAGGGAGGTGGAGAAGGAGAGGGAGGTGGAGAACGAGAGGGAGGTGGTTCCAGGTTAGCAGCCGGTCACCTAAACCTGCGAGAGCGGGAAGACGGAACCGCAGAAAGACACGTCTTTTCTCAACGAGCCTGTTTGACAACCAAACATGAATCCTCTTCCACCTCCTCCTCTTCCACCTCCTCCTCCTCCTCCTTCTCCTCCTCCTCCTCCTCATTGCAGTCATCATCACCGTTATCGAACGTAGGAGTTGTAGAAGCTGTTGAATTAGGGGAAGTAGCCAATCACGAACGACAAGAACATGAAGGACAACGTTTTTTGTGCGCCGGGTCGGAAAAATGGTCGGGCTCTTTCGAATCTAGGTGGAGGAGGGGGGCAATGTACCGTTTAGTCCAGTTGCTCTGGGGATTGCTGCGACTTCTAGCGAGCTTGGAATTGGAGTGGAAGCTCTTGCTACTGTACTTGATGATGAGTGTGGGGGCAAGTATCACCTGCACGCATGGGTTCGAACTCACGACCTACGATCCCGTGAACCGATCATTCGGGCTAGCGTTTTCTGAGTGTGAAAAGAGGCAACTTGAACCGGTTTGGGCAAAGAGTAGTATGGATGACGGCGATTCTGCTGAAAAGGCTGAAGAAGGCGGTGCTGCTCAAAATGGCAGCATGGGATTTGCAGGGAACAGCAATGTAGAGAGCGTGAGATGGAAAGCATCGTGTGAATTTTCTCTTCGTGGGAGAAAGCAGGTAAACGGAGGAGGAGGAGGAGAGGAGGAGAAGGAGGAGGTGGAGTGGGAGAGTGTCAAGGTGGTGGGCTATGTAGTGCCAGGGTTGGGGCAAGGATGGTGCGAGCCTCCCCACCTGAAGAACGAGGCTCCCCGCCCGACGAACGACAGGCTGAGCCTCTCGTGCAATCAGGGATTCAATTTGTCTATGACGTTGGAAGGAGGAGGAGGAGGAGGAGGAGGAGGAGGAGGAGGAGGAGGAGGAGGAAGAGGAGGAGGAGGTGCTGAGAATCAAGGAGCCGCTGGCCTTTGGCCTATTGAATTTGTGATGGACTTTGGGGTTACTCTGTTCATTCCCGGACTCACTGTCGACGGCAAACGGAACGAAACGGTGAGTTTCGAGTTGATCCGCAAAGGGAATGAAACGATTAGCGAATTGATCGGCAAACGGAACGAAGCGGTGAGCGAATTGATCGGCAAACGGAATGAAACGGTGAGCGAATTCATCGGCAAACGGAAGGAAACGGCGGCCGTCAAACTGAATGAAACGCTGCAGGAATTGTTGGGCCGACGGAATGACACAAAGGAGAACAGCTTGAGCGGAAACGGGAACAAAACAGTAGCTGACTGTGATTCGTTAGGAAATGTAGGGGAAGGAGGGGAGAGGGGGGTAGTAATCATCGAAGGGGTAGGAGCAATAAATCAAGGGAAAGGAGGAGGAGGGGGAGGGGGAGGGGGAGGCGGAGGAGGAGGAGGAGAGGGAGGGGAAGGAGGGGGCAACTTAACGGTGGATGTCTTCGGGCTGCAAAGCGCGAATGTGCTTCGTGCGCACTGGGAAGGAGCGAATATAGCAGAGCTGTGTGATCACAATTGGGAGACAAGCGTGGGGAGGAGGGAGGTAGACGAAGATCATGGCTCGTTGAGATGGGACGTACTAAATGGGTTATCATTAGCCGAGGCAGAGGCTAGCATGGTTGTAGAAGCGGGCATGGTGAGGAGGGGGGGGGGCGACGATGGGTGGAGGACAATGATCTTCATATTCGTATCGAGTCTGATACTATGTCTGATGTTTCTATGGATAAGTAGGAAACTGTGGGAGTTGATAAGGAGAGTGGGGGAGGAGGAGGAGGAGGAGGAGGAGGAGGAGGAGGAGGAAGAAGAAGAGGAGGAGGAACGGGAGGAAAGCGTGGTAGTAATAGGAGAAGGAGGAGTAATGGTGCGCGTACGACGACGAGGAGAAGGAGAAAGGGGAGAAGAGGGAGGAGGGGGAAGAAGAAGGAGGGGAAGAAGAGGCAGAGTCGGAGGAGAAGCAGGAGGAGTAGGAAGAGTAGAGGGAGGAGGAGAAGGAGGAATAGGAAGAGGAGAAGGAGGAGGAGGAGGAGGAGGAGGAGGAGGAGGAGCTGGTGAAGACGAAGATGCTACCATGACATCTAGTATTTTGTCAATGTCCATATCGATGGTCACTGCGACTTCTTCCTCTTTCGTTCTTCCTGAAGGCATGTCCGCTGCCTCACCGGGGGAGACTTCTACCTCTCGGACCGCCATGGATGGTACCTTACCCGCGTTCGACTTCTGCCTGGAGCCATCGCCGTCGTCGATCTCTTCAGCGGGACTCGATGCCTATCTCGATAGAGAGGAGAGAGAGAGAGTGAGAGAGATGCAAGCCACAGTGACTACAGCAGCTGGTAATGACGAAAGTCGGCCAATTGACGGAGAAGCAGGGATTCGAGCCCACGATCTCGAAAATGAAGCAACTGTACGTGCTGCTGTAGATAATCATAATCACCATGATGAGCTACAGACCATACCTCTGCCTCCTCCCAATAGGCAGTCGGGGGGCGTATCTCTGCAGCTGCTGGTGATCCCATCTTCCGCACATCTAGACATGAGCAGTATGAACATAAACGAAGAGAACAGCAGCAGCAGCAGCAGCAGCAGCAGCATTATAAACAGGGAAGGCAATGTAACTGCACCACAAGGAAATGTAATGGACGCCTGCAATTGGTCGTCCTCATTGCAGGTACCGGAAGAGGACACGAGGCAGTTCGTCGCCGTCCATTCGCCGAATCCCGACGATCTGCCCTGGCTGGGAATCAGAGAGGGCTACGACGTCATGAGCACTCTCGCAGATCACCACCAACACCGCCGTCCAGGCAGCAGCAGCAGCGGCAACAACAACAACGACAACGACGACAGATCAGCTTGATTAATCGTGCCGATTAATCATGCCGTGTAATAATGCTTTCGTCGGTTACAGACTTTGCCCCGGTTGTGGCTGATGAAAATACGCTTTCCTCGATGACTTTTAGGGGTGTGTGAGAGAGAGAGAGATGGGGGGGGGGGAGCATTTGTATGCGTGTGTGTGTGTGTGGTTCTGAAAGGGGGAGCGGGTGGGGGAAGTCGAGGGCAGGCTGCTCTCTCTCTCTCTCTCTCTCTCTCTCTCTCTCTCTCTCTCTCTCTCTCTCTCTCTCTCTCTCCCCGCAAGTGATTGCTTCATTGATCGTTCGTGTGTGTGTGTGTGTGTGTGTGTGTGTGTTGGTGTGTGGTGCAACGCCTGAGCATTGATGCGGGCGTACGAGAGGACAGGGAAAGAGGATTTCTGAGGCCAGAAGAGGCAGAGTAAAGAGGAAAGGAATTAGACTAAGTAGAAAATGGGAAGGAGAGAGAATTGAGAGACGGGCGGGAAAGAGTCGCTACTTATCCGGTACGTATCGGCCCCGCTGTTGAGAGCGTGTGTGAATCTGCACAGAGAAGTCTTAATGAAGTTGTCTATAGTGTATAAAGGACCCAATATCTATTTCAATGCAGACGGATGCATACTAGATGGATAGACGTCGGAGTCGGTCGGACTAACTATTGCTCAGAGAGAGGGAGAGAGAGAGAGAGAGAGAGAGAGAGAGAGAGAGAGAGAACGGGGGAGGGGG